CCCATTCCTCCAAGGCTGAAATCACCTGATTTTTTTTCTGTCTTTGCAACTTCTCCTGTATACACCTTAATAGAGCTGCCCCCCAGCTTAGCAGTTTGGCTGGACTTGGTGGGGATGCAAGGAGTTAGATGACTGCCAGTGACGAAATGCACTTCTTGCTGCACTCCTGGGATTTCTATTCCTTTCCCCAAATGCCCTTGTCATTTTCTATTACTCTAGAATGCATAAATAAGAGAAAACGTCCTTTATCATCTCAATATTATTCAGATACTATAGCACCAAGGGGAGATTTTTCTAGCCGCGGGCAGACCAGGTGCAAGGAATTCCTTAATGTTATAGCATCTCATGAACAGTGGTGTGGCTGAGTTCAATCTCCTATTCGGAACCTCCACGGCTTCGTCTTTTAATATAATTTTCATCCTATATAATAAAAAGAATAAATAAATTACACCGATGCCTTCCAGGCATCTAGGATTAAGCTGACAATTGACCAAGAGTCCAAAGAGTTCACGCTATTAATATATTCAACTTTGCAGGCTTTCAAACTTTATTTGACTCTTTCTGCATGCAGAATTGAAAAATACTGGCTTCAAGACCTGCTTAGAGGAGCTGGTAGATGAGGGGAGCTTTGTACAGACTCTCCCGCTTCATGGAAGGCAGAGAGTTTTCCAGAGCTGGGGCTGTGGAGCCGAATGGTAACAGTGACTGTGCCTGCTGTGGAGGCGATGCTCAAGCCAAGCGACCCCGGCCTCAAAGCTGTGACTCAGATCTGAATCTCTAGTAAGGATGCAACGACCTATGAAAGTTAGTTTTGATTAAGACAAGGTGAGAGAGTAAAGCAGATGAGCTGCTCCTGGCTACCTCCCTGTGTGGCTGGGGTAGCAGTGCTGTGTGCTCAATGAAGAAGAGGAAGGGGCAAAAATGAAGCTGCGCTGGGACAGCTGATCTCCACCAGCTGCTCTGGAGCAACTCTTAGGGCAGACAAATGTTTCTGGCAGGCCAGCTCAGGGGATGGTAAAGAGACATTAAACACCTTTTCCTTGACGAATTTAGGAAAGATTTTTATGTAACATAGTGGTCTATGACAGCAGAGAGTTGGAAGTAAACAGAACGAGAAGGGGTCTTCTTTCCTGCTCCTGTACAATTGAACTCATGCCCTTCAGAGGAGATGGGAGAATGAGATTCACCTCATAAAGACATCTCTGTGCTTGTTGCTTAGGTGTCTTCCATAGGCAGTAAAGAGAAATAGGTGGTTCTGTGATGGGATTCACCACAGCTCTTTTGGATATCTTTCTTACAATAAGCTGAATTATGCTATAGAGGCTGTTTCTGTTAGATGACGACAGACACAGCTATTTCAGTGAAAATTCCTTTTATTTGAACTGATGTATACCACACTAATTTTTAAAGCTATTTCAGGAAGAAGTTAGGTTATGAAATTCTCTTTTCCACTGCCCTTGTCCTTTTCTGTTACTATAGTGTGCACAAATAGGAAAGTTTCCTCTATCATCTGAATATAATTTGGCTCACAACAGAGCTTAAACGGGAGACAGAGCTGTGTTTCCTGAAAACAAGGTGCTTTGGACCATGCATGGGCAACTGACTTTAGGTAATGAAGGAAATCATCGTCTAGCTGTGGGAAGCTCCTGTAAAAGTTAGATAGCTCCACAGTGCCGATAAGTGTGGTCTGGATCATTGTTGGGAATTTAGGAAAGATCCCAGAACTCCATAGCTCCAGTTTATATGAGCTTTAGAAAGACTGGATTTGGTTTTTATCAGCTGCAGATATTTATAGGACAGACATGTATGGTAAGGGGACATGGATCCTATCCTGAGTGTGTACCAGCAGGCTGAGAATGGCCATAGATGGTCATAGCCAAGTTCACTGTGCTAATGTCTCAAGACAAGCCTGGTTGTTGTTGACCTTATCAAGGAGGCCAAGGAATTGAGTAGGATACAGAACCCTGTGGTCTTCAATATTTTCTTTTAGGCTGATGGACATGACTGGACCTGTTCTGGCATGACAGGACTCCATGCGCTTCCTCAAGCAATGGTTACTCATGCTAAAATAAGTGTTATCAGAAGCATTGAAATAGTTTCATCCATCCTCCTCTCTGCAGGTGGTCAGGAGCTTCAGATCAGAATATCTCGGTTTGCCAGCTACCGAGAGTCAGACATCAGGGTCCAAATTGGGGGCTCATGGGCACAGATCAAGGCGCAGACAGACCACGGCATCAACGTGATACTTCCAGCCTTGGCTGCGGGGTGGTACAATGTTTCTGTCATCATCAATGGCGTTGCTGTCACTTCAAACAGGTGCGTGAATGCGTGTACTTTCCCTACGAAAAAAATTTCATTCTCTGTCCTATTTGGTATTTTAGGGTTAATTTGAAAAGGAAAGTGAGAGTTTTCACAAATTCTTTACCTTATAGTGAAATCTGCAGTGTGGTATAAAATTATGAATAATTATCAAGGCATTTATTGATCTGTGGAACCCAAGTCAGCAAACTGCTAATGCTAGTCAATTAACTCCCCTTGGATCAGTAGGAGGCAGGAGAGAAACATTTTAGAAAAAAACATTCGATTTGATGAAAAATGCATATTCAGGCAATCAAAGGTATTCACAGATTCAGGTCAAATGCAGATAAATCCTGCTGCATGAAAACAGACGAAAAGAAACACTTTTCATGAGAAAAACAAAAGCTAGTTTGAAAAATAAAAAAAAATGCTTTGTTTGGAGAATTTTTAAATGATGCTGATTCCATCTTTTAAGGTGACACTTTAAGTTCATGCCTAGATAAATGTAGTAAAAATGAATTAAAATGTGGGGGAAAACCGACCTGAAACTGGAATGCCACAAGGCATTCACAAGCAACACAGTTTTGCTCCTCAGCCACACAGCTCTCATCCAGCTGCTCAGGCAGCTGCTAGGAATGATCCTGAAACAACGATGCTGGGGAGAAGGGAGCTGCTTTTATTGCTTACAAATGACCCCAAGCTGCTTTTTGCATTAATGAACTTCAGAAGGAGAAAGCCTATGGTTGGTGAGATAACACGCAGAGATTCATCCCATCTGATACTGGAGTCTGTTAGCAGCACCATGACTTTGACTCCAAGAACAGAGAGTGGTGGGAGATGGGTCATCCCAGGAGACAACTTTGATCTCTGGTGGCCTGAGTTGCAGGCGTGGGAAGGTCTAGGGACGGGGGGTGTTTATGAAAGGAGGGTGATGAGGAGGAAAAACAGCTGTAGGTGGGACAGAAGCAAAGCTTCACCCTTATCTGAGTGGGCTTCAGGAGGTTATATCTGGGTTTATTCTTGCTGTAGTTTCCTTTGCTGCCTGGTGGGAGGATGTAAGGAAGGGAGCTGGGATGCCTCTTCAATGCTCTTGCATCTCCTCTCTGTGGGTAGAGCTACAGTGGGATCTGTTTGTAAAAAGAATACCCTAATTCTTACTTCTTTTGATGGGCAATTCAGTTGCACCTCATGGACTCAATTTGGCCTGCAGATTGCCACTCAATAAGAAAGTGTTCATAATAGATGTAGCTCAAATCACACGGAAAAATTTGGGGTCTGGGGTGGTCTTGTCTCTGTGATCTTGAACGAAGGGGATATGCCAGGTAGGTGTTTGGCCTTCCAACATAGAAGGAGTTGTAAGAAAGAGTGGCACGGCAGCAGGAAAGAAAAATACAAAAAAAACCAAACCCCAGACTCCCCAAACCCCTTTCAATGTTGCTTGTGTTTTGCAGGGTTGAGCCGCTAATCCAGTACCTCTCAGAGATCTTCAGCATAGAGCCGTGTGGTGGCTCCTTTCTGGGTAAACAGCGTTGGTACATCTGCAGCCACTTATGCAGGTTAAAGGGATCAAGGGCACAGTTTTCCTGCAGGAATGGAAAGGGCATCCCATTTCACATCAGTTTAAATGAGGGTGTTTTAAATCTGTGACCCTTTATTATGCAGACATTAACTGACAGACAGCAGCAGTCTGGAAATGTGGGATTGTGGTGAGCATCCCTCAATCTGCTTGGCTGGCTCAGGGCCCCCTGTGCTTTGAATTTGATTTCCCCAAGTGTTTGTTTGTGTACACTTGCACGTTCCCATCGGGAAAACAAAGCACAGCCACACCTGACTCATCTGTGCTGTTTCTTTCAGTATTTATGCCTCCATCTTTCAAGGTTTTCTACGTGGAACTTAGGTGGAAAGCAGGGTACAATTGTCATTTGAAGCAAACAATAATTTCAAGTGATCCCAAAGGGGACATTCATTTTTGTTAATTTGAAAAGACAAAAAAACCCCCGTTTTCAATGTTAGTTTTAATCAAAAGTGAAATATTTATTAATCCCATTCCAAGCTTTTAAACATTGGAAATAATTTAAGTGTGTTTCAGAGCAAAATATCACTGAATGAAAAAGAAAAGTTTTACTTTAAGTCTTAAAAAGCAGATTTGGGCTGGGAGTGGGGGAGAGTGGATTCCCTGTAGTGAATTTTACATGAGCTCTTAGAAATGGTTTTATAGAAGACAAAGAAATTCTTGTGATGCAACCTCAGGTCCTCCACAGATTGCTCTCCCAGGCTCACAACACATTTAAAGATACAAAAACTCAGAGGCTTTGTGGTACGTGATTAGTTCAATAGCTTATGAAGTGCCCAAGCCTTGAAAGATGAGAGTGTGGCTACAGCCTGGATATCAAAGTTTTGAAGATTAAGCTATATTAAAAAAAATCTACATCCTTTTTTAATATTTAAGGGTAAATTGAAGGGTAAATTGAAATTTAAATAAGAGCTGATTAACTCTTTGGCTGTAGTTTTATGAACGGCTTAAACTGACTTAGAATCTCATTGCTGCAAGAAGCAGCAGTCCTTCCCCCCCCTTATCTTTAGTCTTTTGTTGTCTCTAACACATGTGGCCATCTGGATTAAGGATTTGAGCTTACTCAAAAGGAACCCCATTAAGAAACAACTTTATTTTTCAGCCAGATCATGGGAAAAGGAAGGGCACAGGCTTAAAGGATAAAGAGGTTAAAGCAAGGCAGGGCACTGGGAGTATCAGTCCTCCAAACTAAAGGAAGATGGAGAGAGGCTTCATCTGGGCTCAGGGTTTGGAAGCACAGGATTAGGCTGGGAATGCTGGAGGGTTTACATTTTCATGATTATCACTTCCTAAAATCCACACTGCTCCTTCTTCAGTGCTGCCGGTATTCTCAGCACCCTGGGAGGCAGTGCAGATACTGCTGCTCTGCAACACTATGTAGATCCAGACATCAGGATTCATGCTTATTCCAGATAAGAAGCACCTACTCTCGGTGGCCAGGGTGGTAGCAGAGCCTCCCAAGGCTGCTGCTCCTGTCAGTGTGGAGGGGGAAACTCCAGTGCAATGTCCTAGAACAACTGTGTGGATGAGACCAAAGACAGCCTGAATCCCAAAGTGACCCAAAAATAGGATGCCTGAGGAAGATTATGGGAGTGGAGCAGTGCATGATGATGTTTCTCTACAATAATCTTCCATCTTCCAATACTAGACACAGCTCCACTCCAGCTGGGGGTCCTAACTTTGCGTCTAACTCTTCCTGCGTTTCTTTTCCATACAAATGATCCTCTTGGTTCACACCAAGAGCCTGTTTACTCGTTTCCCGTCTTCTTCTGTCGTCTTAAGTAGCTGCCCAGGGAATAAAAACATCCAAGCAACCACAGGGGAAAGCAGACAGCCTACCTTCCTGCAGTCCATGCATGGGAAGCCCTGGTCAGAGCCGCTTTTGACGGTACAGGGGGAATGGTCCTCTCTTCCTGTTCTACCTATCTTAAATGGTCCATACTGGGAGCATGTAATTAAGGGAGTGCTTGAAGCTGGAAGTATCAGCTTTTCTGGTCAGTGAACTCCTCAAGGGCAAGTGACCATCAGTGCATGGCAAATCTGGCACTCTGCCTGAGTGGCTAGGCAGAAGTGAAGGCTGGAGGAAGGTCTGTGGTTCTGGCTTTTTGTTTGAAAGCAAGCGTACTGCATTCTGCTTCCCTGTATGCAGCAGGACCAAACCATCTCTACCATCTCCCCACCTGCCTGTACAGACAGTCCCATTCCCCGGAGAGTTTAGCCTCTGTTTACTCTCAGGGGTCCTGTTGCAGCAGCTTCTTCCAATTTTGTAGTGGCTTTCTACTGCCATTTTCTGCCACAAAGGTCCCTGGCTATCTGATACCTTAGCCTTCTGTCCACCCAGGATTATCCTGGTACATGACTGCTATTATCTCTAGCTGTCTTGTTCCAAAAAAAGGACTTAATTCCTTCTTCCATTCAGCCTGGGTAAGACTGCCTGCCATTCTTATCAGCTTTGTCATGGTTCGTGATTGTTCCCAGACAGTCATTAATTCCTTTCCTGCATATAACGTCTGTCTTCCTTATTTTGTTTTACTCCTAGGTGGAACACTGCTCACGATCTCTGGGGTGGGCTTTAGCCAAAATCCTGCCCTGGTTTCTGTTTCAATGAACAGGCAAACCTGTACGGTTACTTACTTGACAGAAGAGACAATTTGGTGCCTGACCCCACCAGCTGCTAATTTGTCTAATGAAGATTCACAAGACATCTCTGTCAGAGTAAACGTAGTCATCAGCAGCAGGTCACTTCAGTATCCTCTCATTGCAAAAAGGACCACTGCCTTTAATTACCAAAGAGCTTTGACTCCTCTGATTACTGTTGTTGAAACGGAAATCACAGATAGCAGCCTGCTTTTGAGCATCCAGGGGATAAACATCACTGGATCTGTGGCTAAGCTTGGACACAGTGAATGTGAACTTGAGTTTCAACCTGGCAACAAGTCCGAAATGTTTTATCAGTGCTCTTTGCCACTGAAAAGCCTGGAAGCTGGGACTTTCCCCATCCATGTTATCCAGAGGCAGCTAGGATATGCTCGTGTGACAGCAAGGCTGCAGGCCCTTACAATAACTCCACAGATAACCTCCATATTCCCATCACGAGGATCAATCTGTGGTGGGATGTTACTCACTATATCTGGTATTGCTTTAAAATCCAGGAAGAATTTGGTACAGGTCAGCTTGGAGAGTAATTATTCCTGTGAGATCCAGAACTCTGATAATGATGCCATTGGTTGTATTGTCCTTCCAGGGGCCCATCCTTTGCATTATCAGTGGTTGGCTGGGGCATCTTGGGCTCTTAATGTTACAGCAACTGTCAATGGGATCAACAGTGCCTGCCTTGGAAACTGTACACTCCACCTTCATGAGCAGTGGACCCCCCTTGTAGATTTGGTGACCTGGGAGACCAATGGGACATTCACCTATGTGATGATCGAAGGACAGAGGTTGGCATGGCCAAGTGATAGACCCGTGGTACACATGAATAACAAGGCTGTCTGCGAGGTAACTTTCTGGAACGAGACCAGCATCAAGTGCCAGACAGATTGCATTGCCCCAGGGGAGCACAACATTTCCATAACCAACAGGAAAAGTGGACAAGCTTGCTTCGGAAAGGCGTCCAGCGTTCTCACCATCCTGCCTCAGGTGTACCGGTTTTACCCTCAGAACTTCAGTATCAATGGTGGAGGCCTGCTCACCTTAGTAGGCTCAGCACTGAAAGGGAAGAGAATGACTTCTGTTCTCATTGGTCATCACCCTTGCCTCATTCTCAGTGTCACTTGTGTAGCTATCCAGTGCACGGTGCCACCAGGTAATGGAACAAGGGCTTTGAGTCTAAAAGTAGATGGCATCTCCTATTACCTTGGAAGAATAAGTTATAATGAGGAGTTTACCCCATCTTTCGTTTCGTGGATTGCAACTGGTCTCCTTTTAACGATGACAGTATCACAGGTCACAGAGATGGACACCGTCTACGTATTCATTGGAGACTTTCCTTGTAGTGGTGTCACCATCACTCACTCTACTTTACAGTGCTCAGCTCCTCTGCTCCCTGTTGGCGAGTACCGTGTGCTGGGCCTGGATGTCCCCAGGGGCTGGGCTTCCTCCAACCTGACATTCACCTCTCAGCTGGTGGTGACAGCCGTGCATCACAACTGGGGTAAGTCATGAAGGCTTGTTGCAGCTCGTCCATGGGGTGCAGTGCGGGAGACTGAGGTGACCAGGTCTTTTTGGCATGAAAGCAAAAATTATGATATCAAAAAAATACACTTGACAGCTGGCTGTCGGGCTCTGTCTTAAACCCCATTTTCTGTCCTTTTCCAAGGTGGTTTGAATGGAGGAGCAGTTTACCTGCATGGAACTGGGTTTTCCCCAGGGAAGACTTCGGTCACAGTCTGTGGCACCGACTGTGAACTGTTGGGCAACACGACGACAACTGACCTGAGCTGCCTTGCCCCACGCTTACACGGTCAGCTAAGACACAAAACCTAGCATGATGTTAAAAATACCCTCTAAATCCTATCTTGACCCAAAAGTGGGGCATCCCAGTGTATCTCATCCCAGGGGAACAGAGAGCAACAGCAGCCCTGGAGAAAAGAGAGGAACCAACATAACAATGACTTCTGGTTTTTTGAACTCAGTCAAAAGACAATTGCTGTCAGGGGCAGTGTTTTGGTCAATGGCCATGGGCTTTGAACTAGATCCACTGTGTGCCTGTGGCCACATAGGCTTTGTGGGTGTGTACGAGACGTGCACAACATCAGCAGTTCCTTGTGGCAGCTATTCCTTGGGAAAACTGTCTCACATAAAACATGCACGAGGACTGTAGGGTTGGGTACCCAAGCGCCTCTTGGCCATCATGATCGTATTAGTGAGTTGAGCTCCCTTAAATGCATTTTCTTCTGTGGCCCCATATATTTTGTGTTTTGGCTGCGTGATCGGACAGCTTCAGTGGGGTAAGGGAGTGGGAGGAAAAGGGTGAATGACTGGGAGGGTGACCAAATAATGTACTATGGCCAGTTCATACTTTTGGGAGGCTGGAGATGAGGATTTGAATTTGAGAGGAAGATGGGATCATCCCATGGCCAGACAATCCTGCTTAACTGGAGAGAGGCAGCAGAGAGTGATGCCGTGATAGCGATCTCTCTCAGAGAGGGAAGTAACGCTTCTTCAATTTGGGAGGAAATTCCTTTCAACGGGCATTTCCTGGGAGAAGACATATTTCCTCCCTCTCCTACGGGCAGCACAGAATTAGGCTTCTAAGAACTGTAAAATAAAGGATTTAAGACTTTAAATCTCTCCCTGAGATACATGCCATTCCTCAAATGCTAAGCACAGAGCACCTACCTTGGTGTTGCAGCATTGCAGCACTTGGTAGCGTAACACTTCAGCCCCTTCATAGCTCTGATGCTACTAGAACATCCTTAGACCAAATATTTGTTGTTCTGTGCTCACCCAGAGATCCATCATCCAGGTGACCAAAGATCTGTGGCATCTTCTCATTTGTGGTCCTGGAAGAAAGGTGGCAATCACAGCGTCCATCAGTGTGAATTGTCAGGGTTTTACTCAAAAGTGTGTGGAATCTCCATCCTCCAAAATAGTCAGATTAGCTGCTGAGAAACCTGTCCAACGTGAAATTTAACGTTCTTTTGAGCAAGCATTGATCAAAGGCATCCAGGGCTCCTCTTCAGCTTCGTTTGTTCCAAAATTCTAAATTTACTCTTGTCATTTTGAAGTTTCTTTCCTCATTCATGAAGAACACTAGGAAAAATGGAGGGGGGGCAGGAAAGGCTTTAAAACCCAACCACAAACATTCAAAAGCAGACATCAAGATGTAAGGGCTCAGATTTCTTTGTTTTAAACAAGATCCAGGCACAGTCCATAAAACTCCTTATTATTGCTTTTTAAACAAGAAAAAACCATGGTGCTTTAATACTGAAAAAAAATAATCCGAGCACAAAACAGGGAAGTCTGGTTATTGCAGGAAGAATCGCAGAATAAAATGTAATCAAATTGATCCAAACTGTGAAAACACTAATAACTGTGTTCAAAATTCACTGAGCGGTGGGCGGCAGAGGGAGCCTGGGGAAAGCCATCTTCTAGGCAGGACCACAATGCTTGTTACTGACACTAGATGTCAGCAAGTGAATGCTGATTGCTGCCCGCTTGCTGATTGTGTTTCTGGAGAGAAGATGCAAAGGATGCATTGCCTCACTAACCAGAGGGACACCGGCATTGCTGCTTTTGAGGCCACTTACAAGATAGCCACCCTCTCCCCTGCTGTGGAGTTTGCAGTGTGCAGCCTTGTAAATCTCACCAGTTGAGTTATAAAAGCGTTTCTCTGTCAATGGACTATTTACAGGAATACATTAGGTATTTTTGCATTTAAAAGAATATTCTTTGCAGGCTGCTTAAATCTATGTTTGCCAGGCTATTTGTACTCCCTGAGACAGTTGTATTCAGCCTGTGCACATCTACATGTGGCATCAATGAATCTGGTTATAGATCAAGAGGCTTTCCAGGCTGTGTTCCTGCTAATGTTTAAGGGATTACACGCCCCCATCCATTTAGGGCATGAGTGGACTTATTAAATACTGTTAGTCCAGTCTCACCTCGTGGTTTACATGCTGCTGCCTGGGGAAGTTTGCCACTTGGCACTTGCACATCCAGTGCTCAGACCTCTCTTTCGCAGCCTCGTGCGTGTGTGAGAGGTGGTGAAGTGACTTCAGGGATGCGGGATCACGAGCCGCGAAGGAGATGGGAGGGATAGATCTGTGGTGCCCCAGGGCCCCTTCAGTGCAGAGGCTGGTGTGGCAAGGCTGGGTGCTTGTCTGACATTTCCTGGTGATGCCTGTGGACCAGGTGATGAGAAGTGAGGAGTTCAAGCTGCGTTTCTTCTGTTACAGCACGCTGTGAAGCAGAAACGCCTCCCCTCTGGCACTGCAGGATGTCAGGTGGCAGCTCGCTGCCTTGGGGTTTCAACACTAGGTCATGTTGTGTCTGGCCTGTTTAAGATTAGAGATGTTCACGTGGGAATCCCCAACCGGTCCATCTAGCTTACTCATGTGATCAAATCCGTAGGGCAAGGCTCTGCAGGCAGGAAACGTGGCTTCTTTCCCATTTATCAGGCAGTTTTTCTAGGACACAAGGAACCACTGGTCTCAGCAGGATCCATCCATAAGCCTGCCCCACGGGGTCTTCCTTAGGAATGGGTGTTGAGCAGGGTTGAAGCAAGGTTTCAGTTTGATCATTGACAAGAGCTGGGCATGCTAAGTACTGAAACATGCTCAATCCAGGGCACAAGGAGAAGGAACGCAAGCCCAGACTCTCTTCTGAAAACTGTTGTCTTTTGCAAGCTGCAGAAAAATCAGATCAGAACAGAGCTAAAATTAGAGTTTCACTCTTAAAGCTTAAGAAAATTAAATAATATTAACAAACCCATACTCCCTTCAAGGAAAAACAAAACCGAAACAAAAATCCCAAACCAACTCAAAGTCTTTAGAGGTCTGGTAAAGAGATAACTGGCTTGATCCCAAGAGCTCTCCCCTTCTCTTGTTCTTGCTTTGTTACTCGTGTTGCAGTGCTGTTTATGAGTGCAAATACAGCTGTGGATTCTGCTCAGCTCAGGCTGAATTTACAGAACACATGGTTAATGTCTGAGGGATTGAATTGTGCTCCTGTGAAAGATGGGAACACTGGCAGGAAGCTTGAGGCAGGTGAGAAAATAACTGAGTATTCCTACCAGGTGATATTAGGGTAAGTACCATACATAAATTTTGTAATAAGACAGTGCTTGAGATTGTAAGTTTGACATTGTGGTAAGGGTGAAGAAGGCACCTTTAAAAGGTGGTGAACTGACAAGATCCATCAGGGGAAAACGTGAGTCTGATTTGCCTGGTTGCATCCGTGTGCTTGGAGTAACAGGTCTGGCTTTAGGGCTTTGATGTGACAGCTCTTGGGATCTTTGTTGGTGAGTCCTGGACCTACCATTAGCTAGATTACATTGGTAAAAGTGGTTGTTTAGGGATTTAAAGGCTTGAAATGAAATGAGATTTGTTTAAAAGGAAGAGAGACACGACTTGGTGGAGCTCTTTGTATGGAGTGAGAGGAGAGGGAGGAGTAAGATTCGGTTGCAGCAGTGAGGAAGTACCAAGGAGATGCACTGAGCTAGGACAAAGGGCATTACAGCTAGGGAAACGGGGTGATTTGTATGAGTAAATGCAGAGGATATGAAGAAGATGCGTTGTGGCAATTGAGATCTCAGCAGAAGCCAGGACTTCTGGTATTTATTGTGGAGATGAAACCGAGGATCCAAATGGTCCCTTCTGTCTTCCAAATCCACAAATTAAACTAAGAAAGAGGGGAAAAAAACCCATATTGATTACACGGCAGGAACGTTCTGATAGCAAGATCTATCAGGTGGTGGAATACGTGCTTGCAAAGTCACCTCTTGAGACTTCCGAAACTTGGCTATGCAAAATGAATGTCTCCTAGGGAGCAACTCTACATAGGCAGAGGTTGGACTTGATGACCTTAACAGGTCAACAGGTCTCTTTTTCCTCTGCCTTTTTTTTCCCCCTTTTTTAACCTTTGTCTTATCTGCTGAGCACGTGTTAATGTTACACTCTGCAGTCCCTTCTGTAAGCAGTGGATAACTCTGGATGTGCTGTTTGGCACCAGGACTTCTCGGGCAGTTGTTCAATCAATCTGCAGCTGCCCTTGGAACTCTTGTAGGTTTTAGCCTCTTCACATGTCCGACAGTTGTTATTAAACAGTGACCCAGAGCAAAGCTCTTGTACTGAGCATCCCAGGATCCTCGCTTAAGCCAGAGTGTCCCTCAAAAACAGGGTTGGGGGCAGTCGGTCCCTAACCCGTTACCAACATGCAGAGATTTGACTGCCGTTGTTTCTGATCTCAAAAGAGAAGCTGTAATGGGATGAATGCATTCGTCTCAGTGATGGGATTGTGTTACATGTGATTAGCAGGTTTTATCTTTATAGGGAATATAAAGAGTAAAGAAACTTCATTCTGGGGTTTGAACACTAATCAATTAAGTAGGGAGAACTGTGCCCCAGAACGGACAGGCTACCCTTTTAGGGCATACTAAGAGTATTGCAATCTTTAGTTGTGGCAGGAGATAATGGCACCAGTAATACCAAGAGATATTTGCTTTTAATGTTCAGAGGAAGGGGTATGAAAGACCAAGATTTCCTCCTGACTGAGAAAAGTATTAAATCCTCTGGGAGCAAGGGAATATGAGGACCTCACAGATCCCCAAAGAAGGCATGAGAATTGGACATCAACTCAAAGAGTGGTATCTTCATCAGATGGACAGAAGCTGTAGGATGTGGAGACAAGATCCCTGCCTCCTTCCACCTGAGAGGGAGAAAGCAGTCCTAGGTTTGATTCTGGGGTGAATAGATTAAGCAGGGTTTTCTTGGATTTTGCTTCCACCGATCTCTTTACAACCCTTTGTAACCATGTTCTTTAGCTTAGATTTTATAAATTAGTACCTTTGTTTGCCTGGTTTGAGTTAAAAGTTGTTTCAGCAGTTGGCAGGATACGAGGCCTCATGTTCCTACAGGCATGGTAACACTGAGACGAGGGCACCGGAGCACGTCAGAAGTGCCTGATTTCCGCATAACATTTCGGGGGTATCCAGAGTGACAGGCTGTTCTTCTGCTGAGCTCTAAGGGCTGTGCAGGAAATACCTTCTGGTGACCTATATTAACCAGGGAAGGTCTTTGACAGCAGCAAGGTATCGAGGAAAATATTCACGGTTCAGCTGCTTTCCCACCTAGGAAAACACTGCCATGTTCTTTTCAAGACCACAAAACCGAAACAAAGCCTTTTTTGATCAGCTCAGCAACCTGTTTTTTTTTTCTTAAACTGTGAAATATGAATTTAATCTTCCTTTAATTACCCACCTTCAGAGGGTGGTCAAACACTGGAATAGGCTTCCAAGAGAGGTGGTCAATGCTCCAAGCCTGTCAGTGTTTAAGAGACATTTGGACAATGCTCTTAACAACATGCTTTAACTTTTCATCAACCCTGAATTGTTCAGGCAGTTGGACTAGATGATCGTTGCAGGTCCCTTCCAACTGAGAATATTATAATCTAACTGTGCGTTAGTAGTATTTTAATTGTTTATCCATGTAAGGTAGCTGTACATTCTCCATTACCACATCTGAGTTTATCACAGCCTTTCGTGTCATGAATAGAATAGAATAGCAAAGCAGAAGAAGCTGTTATACCCTATCACAAAAGGGGTTCAAATTCTTCTGTCCCCAGGAAAGTTGTGGGTTTGTGGAGGAAAAAGAAGACAATGCCATCGCTGCTTGGGTGTCCTTCATCTTTGTTAGTTTGGAGAAGTTCTCAGCCTCTTGCTGGCTGAAAAAAAAAGTAGCATACATGTCATCTCCTTTGGAGAAATTCCTGTAATGAATTGGTTCTGCTGCAGGTTGTTGCAAAGGCAAGTTCTTTGTAGTATTTAGTCCTCTTGGATGGTATTTATTTACCAAAACACAGATTTCTAGCACCACTTAAAATGCCCTTGGAATGGCAGCCTGGCCTCAAAGAAGACACAAGTCTTCTGTGGGAAATACAGAACACCTGAGGTGGCTCTAGACATGATTTCTGGACGATAAAAGCAAAATATAGACATGGTGCCATCATTCCTTTGGGCTTCTCTGTTTATTGCTCATGTCTCTCATGATTATATGTAGATCTTCAAGGCAGGGATTCTGTTTGGCTGTGTTTGACTGGATGTCGAGCAAGAGAATTGTCACTGGATTTGGGGAAGGAAAGAGATCAAGCATATTGCAAAATTTGTGAAGATGTAGGTAACTTTTTTCTTATTCTCAATCCAGAGAAGAAAAATACAGCAAAACTATGAACTTTCTTTCTGAAGTTCAGAGCAGATGAGATGCTAGGGTTTAATATTTCAGAAAACACCTTAAACATTAAACAGTTATAAACTTTTAAAAAACACCACATATGAAATAATAATTTTTAGCATAAAGTGCTAAATCTTTTAACATAGGAAATACAGCATTTTCATACTTTTACCATTTCAAAAACCATTTTCAGGATTGCTTAGGAGTTAAGACATTCATTGATGATGACACTTTCCCAGAAAACAAGATACCTTTTGAACAAACCGGAACTTAAAAAAGCAATCACAAAAAATCTTCTTGATAAATTCCCCTCAACTGGATTTCTGATACTTGAGGAACACTCTTGAATATTACAGTGCAGACTGTATTACAGGAGTTCATTGCAACTGTTTGATTAGTTCAGGATCAATGATAATTCTCCAAAAGTCTTTACGTTCAGGGGTTTGAGAGAAACAGTTTTGATCTCTGGCATGATTTAAGGCTTGAAGGATTCCTTTTTTAAACTTTTAAAACCAAACGTATCAACTAAGCTGAACTTCAGTGACAGTTCATAATATTCTTAATTTTTTAGAATTTTTGTCCGGGTTTAGAAGAAGAAAACCTAATTTTTGTCATAACCACTTGTTCTTTAAATACACCTTAAAGTAAAGCATCTGCTCTCATTACACTTCCTACCAGATCCTTGGAGTCAGGCTTGAACCAAGACTCTAGTCACACTCAGGTGCAAAGCAAGCTGGGAGATCCCAGTTCACACAAATCCCCCAGAAGCCCTCCAAGCTGTGGCAATGCTTTCATGAAACCCATTTCTGGATTTCAAAGTTGTGATAGACGTTAAGCTGTCATATCTCCCTGGTAAAAGGGTTGTGCCTTATGTCTGATCTGTAAACCGTGGTCTATTTTCCCCAGAAAAAATGTCCATACTCATATTTAATGACTTATGTCACTTCCTCCTGGACAGAACAATTTGATCCCAAAGATCATCCCGATGCTCAGTGCACAAAGGAGGTTATGTGCTTGCTCATACAAAGCAAAAGGGGCTGAAGGAGTTGCATGGAGACCTACTCATCCTCAAAAAGAATGCACCAAAAGGGAGATTGGGACATGCACATCAAGAATCCACAATGACAACTGTCAGAAGCCAAAATATGCTTAGTATCAGTGGCATGTAGGCTGCTTTGAGTTATTTTTTTTTTCCTCCCCTGCCTTTGCAGCTTCTTTGGCCATTTTCTGTGGCCTGACACATTCTTCTGTCAACTGCCAAGGAGACAAAGCCACCTTCATTGAATGTGATGTCCAAGTCAAAGTGGGTTCCTATCACCAGAGGGGATCTGTGTCTTACCTGTATGTCTGTGAGGACAGCCCACCTCAGTGGCACCGGAGGGACATCAACCCACCCCAGAGGCATTTCGCTGGACTCTTTGCCAGGTTAGTGCTGTGTGTCTCCAACAGCTGAGTGGGCTCATCCATGAGTAACAACCCCCAGAAGGTCTTCCACCTTTGGCAGAATTGGCCCCTGCCAAATGACGGACTGAAGGAGCAAATTTCTAATTCTTAGGTGGTGCCAATAGAGCAATTCAGCCTTTAGACCACTAGAGAGCTCCGCTGGGTTGTGAAATTCATTCGTTGCGTCTATCAAAGCATCTCTAGTCCCCCCCCGCCCCCTTCCCTCCCTTCTTTTTAAAGTGTTCGAGAGACATCAGAGAATCCATCTCGTAAACAGCCTGCTTTGTTCCTTCTTAGGTTTTAATATTTATCTTCTGATCCAAAGCAACATCTGGTAGATGCCAATGGGGAAAAAGATTAGGCATTATGAAAAGCAGAAGTATTTTTTTTCTTCTTCCCCTCCCCACCCCCCTTCCTCTCTCCAAGCAGTTTCATGAGTAAAAAAGTCGCAGAGAAAATTCAGCAGGCTGTGCAATATTTACTCAGCAAGGGTGCTCAGGCACTTACTCAAGGCTCAGGCTTTGCAAATCCAAGGCCAAATTGCCAGGAGTATTGATTGGCACCGCTGCCTTTAGTGGAGGTAGGGATTTATACCTGAAGAGCATTTACTTCTAGGAGTAAGAGGGAAGCCTGGATTAAGGAATAAACAGATGAACAAAACTTTCTAAAAGACATTAAACAAATAAAGAATTAGAATATCACTGCAATGCTTTGCCCATTATTTGCTGTACATGGTGAACTAATTCTTGGCTGGTGCATGATGCTACAGCCCAGGTATTTTAATGGAATTGCAGAGATTTGGTCCTCATCTTTATCAGATGCTGGTGTTGTGATTCACCAGAGGGAGTTCCGGATGCCCTGTGTTGAGGGCAGGAAACCAGCTGGTATTTACTGAACAAAGACAGCAAGACACAAGTTGCAGAGTTTTTTTTAAACTTGTTTCAAAAAAACCTCCCAAGTTTTTAAAAAAGCACAACCCACCAGGTTCACACAGTTACAGCATCTGCCTGTCAGTCTGTCATTTCCTCCCCACCAGCTTTTTTAATTCGACCTGGGTTTGATAAGGGATGGACTTCTGAAGAATTATGAAATTCTTGTTAGTTTTGAGAAGAACCGTGTTAGGCAGAAAGAAACTCAATTTCCAGTTGAGGGAAAGGAGAGTAGAAATCTGCTTCGATCTGTTGTTTGCCACAAAACTGCAGGCCAGACAGCAGAGACATACAGCTGGCCAGCTGATGTGTCCAGAGTCACATTGTGCATGGGTAGTGTCCTATAACATCCTAGGAGATGGGGAGGACAGTTTTGTTGGGGGAGACGAGAGTAGGAAGGCTTAGAGGGGGGAAAAACAATCCTGAAATTAAACTGATTTCAGCAGTTCTGCTGGTCCCAGAAAGTCTTGTGGCCTTGTCTAGCTGAACTTTACCTTCCTTTTGCTCACATCAGCGTAACACCAAACCAGGTAACCTACAAACTTGAGAGAAACAGGGCACCCCAATATCTGTCTCTCTGATTTTTGCTTCCTGCCCCCTGGGTATCAAAATTGTGCACAGCTCTTTACTGATAAAAATGCATCTGCAATGAGTTTATTCCTATGATTGTTTTTCTTCTTGCTCCTTTTCTTGGTTTGGGCTGCTACTGTGGAGGGAAAAGCCGTGTAGTCCATTTGCTGACTGTTTCCTTATTGTCCAACTTAATATTAAATGCCCCAGAGACAGGGTTTACTGTTCCTTCATGGAATTTTATCAGGGAGATATTTCTGCATTAAATTAATCAACTTTTTCTTACCTACTATTTTCCCATTCTTCCAACTTCTTCAATCTTTTTGCTACTGTCATTAACATTTCCACCTATTCTGCTCATTCTTATCTGGTAGTTGGAAATTAAAGCTTGGGCTGCTGAGGAATTTTCTACAGTATTGACTTTTTTTTCCTGGTTAATCTATTTCTAAACTTAATCTTGCTGAAGGGGTGCAGGGACAAAGAAAATTGTTTGATTTCAAGTGAGTTCCCTGATCTGAAAAGTCTGGGGAGAAGTAGAGGAAGAAACGATTTAAAGTCAACTAAATTACCTATTTCAGAACATTTGAGAACATTTTTTTCATATTTCAGTTCAGAAAAATATTTCATTTCAAAATACTAATGGAATTTGTAGCAAAGTGTTAGAAAATTAAAATGGTCAGACTAGAAATGAACTGTTTGGGGAATTCCTGAAAAATACACATCGATTACTGTAATTAATAATAGTCATCAACAGTAGCAATAATAAAAAATATATGGATTTGGGTTCTGAGAAAATTTTCAAGAGTTAAGACATTCATCCCAGGATGGGAACAAAGCTACCGAAATAATTCCTGGCTTAACTGCACATTAAATCTCTCCTGTTCTTTCTTACTGGTGTTACTGCGGTTTGAATAAAGCTCCTCCTAATCTAGTCTGTACTGTAGCCTATGTTTTATGAACACGTAATCACAGAATCACAGAATGTGAGGGATTGGAAGGGATCTCTGGAGGTTATCTAGTCCAACCTCCCTGCCAGAGCAGGATCACCTAGAGTAGGTCGCAGAGAAACGCATCCAGGCGGGTTTTGAATGTCTCCAGAGAAGGAGTCGCCACCTGCATATTCCTTACAAAAGTGCAAGTCTTGCCATGAACACCACTGATACCAAGATCCATCCCTGAATTCCCTTTAATAAGCCACCCCTTCTTTTCTTATATTTCCTTTAAACATTGCAATTTGTTAGCAGTTTTACAGCATCAAGGTTTTGGGATATACTTCCTAGAGGACAGGGAGGAATTGGCTCCTTGCCTACAAGCAAAGCTTGTTAACTTTTTGTAAAAAGACGTGCACAACTACTCAAAGGTCCTTCTATCGACTTCAGTGCCTGGCAAATTTGGCACATGCCTTGCATCTAGCCAGCAACCACTCCCTTCTGCCTTTAAAACAGTGAGTTATTTAAAAGATGCAGTTTTTTTCTTGTAACATTAAAGAGAAGTACTATGCAGTCTTGAAAGATAGCCCAGTCCATTGAGTTATTGTACAGGACAAGAGCAGTTCTCAAAGTGTTGCTATCAAAAGCATGTGTAGTTCCCTACGGCTGGCTTTTGATTATTGATACAGCAGAGGGAAAGGTTCATTTAAATATAGAAATAAAAATTGACTGTTAAAAAGGTTCAGCTACTGGCAGAAGACTTTTTTTAAATTTTTTTGTAGTTTCTAATGTGGCTGGTTCCTTTAACACTGTAACGCTGAAAAAGGGCAACAAAACAAACACCCCCTAAAAGCACTGTCAGAGCAGTTCTTTGTTTGCACAGTGAGCTGCCATATCCAGCACAATTTGAAAACTTCAGGTTCATCAAACCATCCTGATCGTCGCCCTCCCAACAAAGCTCTGAGTGTTGGCTTTCCAGCTGGGTCCATTTTGGTAGAACTTAAGCTCCCATCTTTGGCACTTTAAAAAATGCTGTTGGATGGGGCTTTCAGGAAGCTGAAGACCTCTGAAAATCCTGGTCCTACCTATATGATCCTCTATTTTGTTGAGCAAATCTCATTATGAGCTCTGTCCTTTCTTAGCAATTCAGAAAAGGGTTAGAATTTCTGAGCTATGTCAGTGTTGCTGTGACTCATCTCTCCTTCCCACAAGTTGTGTGAGTGTTTTTGATGGTGGGATGGGCAGAGGAGGAAGAAGGAGCAATCACCAAGGAAGGAATGAAAAGTGACACTGATCCAAAGCCCGTAGAGGTAAATTTTGGAAGTTTTCTCCTCATTTTGAGGCATGTTGGATCCTATAGCTCCACATAACAAAATGCTACTAAAATCAGCAGCTGTCAGCAGCAAGACCAAGGGAAAAAATATTTCTTCCCCACCACCTTTTCTATTACTTCTTCCCCTTATACAAGGGGAGGTTTTAAAGCAAATGTCTGTTAGTATAACTGGCACATATATCGAATCTGCTTAGTCTGGGCTGTTAAGTAAGTTTAATTAATTTACTAAGTTAATGTTCCAACACTAGCAACAAAGCATCATTGCAATCAGCTGGGTAGCAGGAATTGGAACCCCTAAATGAGCTCATTTTTTCACAGTTGGAATTAGGGACCAGTTAGCCAGTTGTGTGGTTTTTCCAATTTCTCCACTTGCCCTAGGGGAGTTGCAAGTTATTCATTCCCTATTGCTAAGTGTGAGTAAGGTGGGGAGGGGGGAGACATGAACAAACCCTACTCCATGCAGGAGTCCATCTTTGATCCTAACAGTGCTGATTCCCTAGCTGTTGTCTGCACTTATCTTCCTGCCTTGGTCCTAGAATGGCATTTGCTACTATTTGTAATAGTTTGGGGAAGAAGAAAGGCATCACTGAGAGATATTTACTGCATGTATTTTCATCCTGTGTGTGTGCGCAGATAAAGGGGGGAAAAACAAATAAACAATAAAAGAATGGAAACAAAATTACAGAAATTTGCAAAGTTTGACAAATGGTGGCCAGGAGTTGCCACAAGCTAATGGCTTGCAATGATTAATAAGAGTAAAAATAATTGCATTTCATTAAGATTGATGACACCCCATTTAACCTCCCTTCTCGTTTCAGCCCTAAAGTGGAAAGAGATGAAGTTCTCATCTATAATAGCTCCTGTAACATTACCATGGAAACTGAGGCAGAGATGGAGTGTGAGGGAGCTAATCAGCCAATTACCGCCAAGATTACTGAGATACGGAAAAACTGGGGCCAGAACACTCAGGTATAATCAAATCTTTTTTACAGACTGATTCAAACAGCTTAAAATTAAATTTGTAATATTGTGTACATTTAAAGGGGGCAAAAAAAAACAATTTAGGCTGAGCAGCAGCAATATATAATATTAAATGCTTTCCAACTTTGAATAGCAGTTCTAATGCAGTGCAGTTGAATTAATGGTTAACTATGTTAATCATGTATTTTATGAGACATAAATGAGCTTTACCTTGTTTTGTGGGTAATGTATATATTTTTTAACACTCTCCTTTTTTGTATAAATCCAAAATCTGTTTTAGAAGTGTTATTTTCTGTTGCTTGAGCAGAAATCTTAACCATAAGAAACAGTTTCAGCTCTCTGGTAGACACTTCGTGTTCGGCATCTGTGCAGCTCTGGTTATATTTGGGTTTTGGTCTTCTTCAGTATCTGGAGTAAAATGGGACAGTCTTCCCAGTGCTACGTGTGGGTATAGCTAGAAGACAGACATATGCAAAGAGTTCATGACAAAATGTATGGCTCTGAACTAACATCATCGTAGGGCTCTGTATCTAAAATTGCTCATTGCAAACCCAAAATGTCCTTTTAGAGTCCTTGCAGTGCTGCAGAGTTTTTGGGGGTGCTGAGCTGAATACTGGGTTGTGCCACCTGTGAGAAGAAATTCAGAGCGGCTGGATATTTGGTGAACATCAAATATCCCTTCATCACCATCCTTTCTTAAATATGCACCTCCTGGGAAGTGGTGGAGACCTACCATGCACAGCAGTGCAAGTGGGAAGAGTTACACACCTGACAGGATAAAAAACAAATTCTGGTTTTGATCTATTAAATCAAATTATCATGCAGTCTTCTTAGCATGGCTGAAGCCTAAAAAACAGAAGTTAATTTGCTCAGCATTGATGTTAAAAAAAATTTTAACTCTGCTATCTGCAGTGACATTTCCTTTACTCCACCACCCCACCCTAGAAGTAGCCGCAGTGTCCTGGCAGAATAATTTCGGTGTGTTTTCAGCATCAGTTTCTAGATCTTTTATAGTCTCTGAATATTTGCCCTGCAAATCTACTTACATGTATGTTACTATCGCAGCTGAGTATCCTGAAATACAATTGCTTTCCTTCATTCTGTTAAGTCTGTCCTTGGTCTGTGAAGGAATGTCACACGTAGCCTTTTACCTATTAGTGTTCGTTTGCTATTCAGCCTTGGTACTTATGTTACCAGAAACGTGCCCAGCTACGGAGAAAACCAAGCCAAAAAAAATTGCTGGTTGACAACTGAAGGAGGCCAGCAAAGGGAATTGCTCGGGCAAAGACCAAATCAAATGGTAACTACTCCTTTCATTCGTATTTTCCTTCCCAAATGTGATAAGGGCATCTCCACCACCCTAAAGCCTGGGCTGCAGCGTAGAGGAGATATTACCTACAGTTGGCTGTGATCTGAACAGCTCAGCTGTGTCGTGGGTCCTGCAGTCTCAGTAATGAGATGATGACAGGTTGTCTTTTGACTCAGGTGGGAGCAGGAATACAAAGTAGTGAGGTCTGTCCCCGCTGCAGTTTTTCTGTTCAGAGTGGGGAAAATCGAGGAAGTCCTAAGTGTCCTGAATGAATTAATTCATTCAGGGAGAGCAGGACGAGGCCAGAAGCACTTTTAGATCTGGGATTTGCTGCTGCTTAATGAACCCAGCGGGCGTTTAGAATCATTTTATCCCTCTTCCCAAAACTGGCCTAGGTGAGCAGAGGTGGATGGGTGGGGAGTTCAGATAAATGGTTTCAATTTTGGTCCCTTTCTAGCTGACAGCATCCTGTTAAGATTTACGACCTGGTGCAGCATATGCATGCTTCACTGTAGAGGTTTAAATCATGTCATGTGAACTGGCCTTACCTTTCCAGTGGAAATAATGGTCCCCAGGTTCAGCACCAAGCAGTGAAACGCATTAATAGCACCACGTGCCTTAGGATAATGGTGCTATTAGCAGGCAGCACAACTCTGTGTACAAGTAATGGGACTGCATCTCTTTATAATAACATCTGGCACTTCTATTGCACTCTCACGTGAGGATCTCAAAGCACTTCATAAAAACCAGGCCTCATCCATAGCTGTTCTCAGCACAGCTACACTGCTCAGTGTTTTGTTTTCTGCTTGCTCTTCTGCCAGCTGAGCAATGCCCAGGCAGGCTGATAACTCAGCAGTGTCTTAGCACAGCTGGGCTTTATGGATGTGTTGGGGCAGAGATGATTAGATGGTGATGGAGCAGGATTAGCTCCAGGATGGCATGGAAAGTAAAAAGAGGCTTTGCAGAAAGGCTGACAGAGGATTGTACTATCAAGAGCATGGAGGGGGCATTGGCGAGAAGAGGGAACAACCCTGGCTCAGAGTAGAAAACAAAAAAACTCTTAAAAGGTTGGTTCTAGGATCTTGAGTCTAAGTGACACAAGTTTTAGGATGAAGTGATTTTTTCTTCAATCTTTATAAGACACCTAATAGGACCTGTCCATAATTTGTAAAAAAACAATAAGGAAGAGACTAATATGTGATTTGTTGGGATTTGGTAGGTTGGAAATGAGGTGAACGTAGCCTGTGAATGTGATGAGGTTTTGCAGTAGTGTCCTGGTGGGAGAATGCTGGGCAGAAGGCTCCAGGGATGCCTGAGAAGGAGTGTGGTGGATGTATGAGAGAGGCTGAGTGACGTGATATCCCCAGTAGAAGGGAACCCAACTCCAGTGAGATGGTGATCTCTTCCAGGTCTGTGTTTGTACAACACTTTTTAGCAGTCCTGTTACGGATAGGTCACAGATACAACCTGGTAGCATTGAAGAGAAATCCATGCAAAAGGATGCTGGTGTACGAGTGCCAGAGGCATGTCCCTCAGCTTGATCTGCCTGCTCTCACCAGCAGGAGCCTTGCACTGGAGATAGTCCGTTTTTCTCTTGCCCAACTCTGCAGAGCCGTACCCAGACAGTCAATTCACCCTGGATATGTGTGTCAGCTTTGCTAAAAATTGCATTAAATGGTTGTTGTAGCTCATCCAGGAATTAGACCTTAGCCATGTTAGTTGACAGACCCAGTCCTCCATTTTTCTGGTCACATGCAGAGTATATTATATACATTATCACAGTTTTTCCCTTGCCATCTGTTTGAATGGCAAGTGCACGTGTAAACCAAGGACACCAAAATTATCTGAAGAGATTAGCAAGCACCACAAATGCTCTTTCTCAATGAGTTGCTGAGGTAGTTGTCCTTTGTACTTCTTTTATTGTCTTAGATATATAGAAAGCCCAAGTACTAGAAGATCATTGTACCTAGATACAAACTCCTCAGAGGTGCATTTTTCCCCCCCATTTCTTTAACTCCTTTTCCGCCATGATAAATACATATAAAGTTCTATTTTAATGAAAATTAAGAGCTTAACTCCAGACACCTGAATTTTTGGATGATCTGCACAAGTTTTGGATGATCTGATGGCTCAGCTTAATTCTACAGGGAAAAGAGCTCTGCCACCTGTGATTTCAATATAACTTTTCTTTAAAATTGGTCTGTAACTATCATAAAAAATTAGAATTTTTAAAAAAAAGCTGGCTGTCCTATTCGTGTTGTGCAGGCTGCTTCCTTGAGTCAGTCACTTGAATTTGCTTTTCAGGTTGAACCTCTTTTGGTCAGAACGCTCAACAAGGCAAAACAGCTGTATTTTCTGGAAGGTGACACAACATCCATCACTTAAGTATCGTCCCTTCAAATCTGGTCACCAAGCTGTTGCTTGCATGTTACAGTCTGAGCTGGGCTCAGCTCTGAATCTAGAGGACCCCCAAAATTCCTGGGAGTTTCAAGTTGCTAGCTGGAGATCTGTGAGTTGCATGAAGTTTGAGGCAACCAACTTGGAGTTTTCCTGGGATCTGGTCTGTGTTGCATCATCCCCCAGAGAATAGTTTTTATGGTTTCCTTTGGAAACTGATTTAGGCCCTTGCCTGACTTTGTGTTTGAAATATTTTGCCCTGTATTGCTTTATTAGGTCACGTGAAGTAAGCAGCAGGCCTCTGCCCCACTGTTGCATTCAGCATCATTAGTGTTTGTAACTTGCTCTATTATTATCTAAGGAAGAGTTTCAGAATTATTTTTGTATCAGTGTATAATGCAATTTAGCCTACTGAGAGGAGAGGGGGAAAAAAAAAAGGGAAAAAAACCCGAGCACTGATTGTATATCCCACAGGACTTAATTAGTTCAGTTTCATGATACACTGGATAATGGGAAGATATGAATTAAATAATAAAAGGGAAAAGAAAAGTTCTAATGCTCACTCAGTACCTGTCCACTTCCACCTTGGCTGCATAATGAGATGTCAGCTACCGTGACACTGATGAGACATGCAAAACACACTGGTAACACACGTAAAGGATGCTCATGGGAAGGTTTGACCAGGCTCGGATGTCTCCGAACCCATTATGCTTAGTGAGCCTTCAGATTATTATTCCGGATCACTGGACCAGGCCTAATCATCATGCAAGCATGCTGTTTGAGCGGTGTTTCCCTGCGCTGACTCCCCCTCCTCCTCTGGCCCAGATGGGTGATATAATGTTCGTTGGAGGGCAGATGCCACGTATATTAAGTCAGTCGTGGGGAAGCTGAACTGGTATACTAGTGAATTCTCTACAACCTAACCCTCAAGGGGTCCCTATTAAGAAATAGAAGGCTAATAAAAAATAACTTGCTAGATAAAAATGCCATCCTGGATTATGGCTCTGCCTCGGTATGCTGTGCTGCCTTCAGTTTGTTTTTAAATATGGCATTAAAGGAAGGTCTTGAGATTTAAGAAGTAGCTTAGAGTACTGAGGAACTCTGAATTCTTAGCTTGGTGATTGATACCAGGATAACTGTTCTGTTCACTTCTCATCAAAAAATAAAATAAAAAGAAAGGAAAAAAAAAACCCACAAAGGCTGTGTCTGAGATACGCACAGTCACCTAAGAGACACTACTTGTTGTTCAACTTCTACTTACTGTAATCAGGACTAGCTCCCC